GGAATCAGATGACGTGTCAATGTAGTTACTTCTGTGCAATCGATGCAGCGGGCTAAATGATGTGGAGTAAATTGCAGACAGAAATCACTTTGCTCTGACTTCAAATGTCTTCTCATGTACTCTGAGGATGAGTTGATAAAGAAAGACAGATAATATGCAACAGACTTAAAATAGCCTCTGCCCTCTCAGAAAATTAGCCCTGGCCGGCTTCTCTCCTGGCTGATTTGACCTTGGGGAACTTCAGCTTCCCTGAATAAACTGAAAGCACCACAATTAGAGGATGAGGATTAGGATGTTCGGACAGCCTCCAGTTGCTCTTTGCAGGCTAGATATTTTACAATGGAATAGGAGCACAGACATATTGAGGACTTATTATATATACTTTTAATGCACAGAGAAAATAGGTCAGTAAAAAGCTATAATTCATCGTTTTAGTCAAATGGACATTCCACCCTGCTGCTTTAGCAAAAACTTTATACAAAGACCAAAATAAACAATCTATAAATTCCTAGTGTAGCAGTATGAAGATACCTTGTATGGATTTTCTTTTTGACAGTGAGTCAGCACTTCACTGCGTGGAGAAGCTATTCCAAAGCCCTGCTTCCATCTAGTGGTTGCAGTGAATACACATTTACTCGGAGCTGAGGGATGATGCAACCACAGTACATCTGTAGGTTTTGCCTGAGTTAAGAGAGCATACAGCACTTCATCTATTTATAAAGAGGGAAAAGGAAAATGTGCAATTGAAAAGTTATGAGGATCCATTTTGGATTTATCTTCAGCTTGGTTTAATTTAGAGGGAAATATTAATTACAGTGAGATCAGAACATAGGATTCATAATCCCAAAGTCAAAACACAGAGATCTCCTTCAAGATGGCTGGATCTCTGCAATGGGGGACCTGGGGAATGGAGGATGTCCTCAGCTCTATGTGATGTTCAAAAGTCTTTTGGATATGTTTAAGGCAGAAGTAGTCGACCCTGTTCCTCAGGACCTACTGCCCAACATGTTTTAGATGCGTCTTTGCTACAGCCCAAGATTGTGTCACCTTCTTAGCAGCCGTCAAGTGCAGCAGAGGCCTGTAAATCAGCCAATTATCAAGGTTGGGTGTGTGGAGGCAGGTAAATGTTTCAAAACATGCAGGACAGTGGGTGTTAGGTCCAGACTTAAAGAGCTCTGGTTTAGGAAAATGCAAATATAGCACACCTTTATTCTTCTCAGGTGAAAATGTAGGTGATTACAATATAGAGGAAATACAGCTTATCAAATAACTTGTAAGAAAAATAACTGATGGAGTCCAATGTTGGGCTGCTCAGTTGTGAAGTGGGTAGCACTGCTGCCTTGAAGCAAGAAGGTTCCGGGTTTGATTCCTGGCCTGGAGTCTTTCTGCACAGAGTTTGCATGTTCTTCCTGTGCATGTCTGGGTTCTCTCCAGGTACTCTGGCTTCCTCCCACAGTCCAAAAATACCACTGTTAGGTTTTGTATTATTTAGGCTTCTCTAGATTCTCCTTTGGAGTGAATGTGTGCGTGAATGGTTGTTTGTCCTGTTTGTCTCTGTGTTACCCGTCAATAGCATGGCGACCTGTCTGGGGTGGACCCCGTTCTTCACCCATATACAGGTGGCGATAGGCACCAGCACCCCTCGCGACACCAGTTGGGATAAGCATAACAGAAAAGGGATGGATGGATGGAGTCCAATGTTTACTGTGCTTTAAATGTTGCGGTAAAAGTGCAAAAATGCATTTCATTGTGATTAATTAGGAATTAAAACACAAACTTTTACTGTTACCAGTGGATAAACAGTCTGAAAAGGGTTTGCAGCTGCTGCAGATCTTCTAATTTCATTAATTTCTTTTAACAACTCGTACATTGGTTTATGGACTAAAAGCAATGTTATCATAGCAACCATATTATTATTAGTACCACTGCATAACCACAAACTGTTTTAATCAGAGGAGATACACGTATTTGCTGTGCATCTTGGTAGACTTTGCCTTTATTGTTACTGAATATCAGCTTCTTGTAAAAATCAAGCCACTGAACAGACCCCGGTGTTTCTGCTTTGATAGTACCAAAAAATATATATTTGTAATTTAAATAATAACAGTTAATCAAAATAAGAAAAGTATCACATGTTTTTGTTAGATTTCAAATGTAATTAGGAAAAAAAAATTTTAGAGACTGTTTATTTTAAAATGTAACTTTTTTCATTTTTCTTTTTTTCAAAATATGTTTTTACAAACTTTATGTTTTCCTTTTTTTTCAACAAATAGCCTTTTTTCAAATTGCCTTTTGCAGATACAAATGCTCCTTCTTGAGTCAAACAGTGAACAGATGAATGATGTTGCCAACTTTTGTTTTTAATTCAATTCAATGAGTTTATTTATATACAGTAGCACCAATTCACAACACAAGTCATCTCAAGGCACTTTGCAGTTCACCTCAGTCGTTCCTCACTCCATCTGACTCCAACTGACAAAGAGAAATTTGAAAGAATATATATATATATATTTGTAAAATCTGTTAAATAAATATAAATTAAAGAAAACAGAATCATTAAAAAACTTTGAAAAATGACTTTAAAAAGTAAAATATAGAATCAAAAAAACATTTGAAAAACAAAATCTAAAAAAAAAAACAGCAAAGTTACTCTCAAAACATTAACAAACATTTTCATTTTTTGCAACAATAAAACTTTACCCCATAGTTTCTTACATTAAATCTACACAAATCTTTTTTATGATTTTAGGTTTAGGTTAAAAATGAACAGAGACCTCTCTCTTTCTTTATTGATATGAACATAAATATATATTATATATTGTGTGTAAACACTCTTTAATGGCAGGACTAACAGCTCCATCAGCAGTCTGTCCTCAGGCTCTCATGATTCAATAAAACCCCTCCTTCCTGCTGAGCTATCGGTGCTTTCTGAGTGATGCTGGCGTCTGACCGGATCTAACAGGCTGCAGTGACGGACAGACAGAGAGCTGAACTGGCAGCCTAGGTTACGGTGCTGATCCTCCACAGACTGTCTGGGTCACAGCAGACACAGAGGTCTTAAAGCTCTGACGATGAAGGGAAGCAGTCAAAGTGGAGCGAACAGCCCAGAACCAGCAGAAACATGGCAGCTAGGCACAGTGCACCCAGAAGGGATGGACTGCACCGAACTGTTCCCATATCATTTCTATCATTCATATGAAATTATTGTCTTTCCTTCTATCATAACTTCTTTTAATGTCTGAGTCAATCAGTTGACTCTAGTTCAAATCCAGACAGGCGGCCATGGAGGGGTTTTTCTCTGGCCGCTCCATCATACAGGCCATATTGATGGTTATCCTTCTGTCACCGCTATGGTCACCTCTGACAGTGAACATAGCGTTCTCGCTCAACTCCACGGCTAACAGCTCCGTTTAGACAACCAACCAAGTAGGATGTAGAAAAACTTCACATCCTCTTTATTTTTTCCACCAGAACTGCTGTTCTTCACTCCATCAATCTTCCCATTGTTGCAACTTAAAAAACTCATAGCCACAGCATGATACTGCCTCCACCATGCCAGTTTATTTGCAAAACAAAAAAAATCTAAATCATTCACATTTGATGGGAGGAAATCCTCACCGTGTTTCATTGTGACAAACAGGTCCTCTAAAGATAATCCTCTCCAGGCCATTCCTTTGTTGATAAATACACCCACCTGAGCAGCGAGTAACTGCAGCTCCTCCAGACTCCTAATGTCTTGTTACTGTTTTTCTCCAGATGAATGAGCTGATGCAGCCAAGTTTGCCTCTAAGCCAAATAAAAATGCTTTGAATAATATCAGCTGAAACAAAACTCACATTATCTCTGATTGCCTGCTGTGTTCCATGGTTTTGGAGTTCTTACTTAGTCTAACACATCAAATAAAACAAATGGAGTTTATGGTTAACATGTGACTGAATCAGACAAAGAGGTATGAGCAGGTTTCTAATGCATCCATAAAACAAGGATTAAGCACCAAGTGAGAGCAAAGCACTTTATTAGATACGGCATTCATTGCATTCAAACACATCGTTGTCTTTTTCCCGGAACAATCCATCCAGGTCAAACAAAAATAAATCAAATCTTCTCCATTTAATTGGTGCAAAGACCTTAGAAATCATCTATGTCTATAATCTGAAAAAAAAAAAAGAAAATACTTACAAAAGTTACATCTCGAATGTTAAATAACACACATGCCTTTTAATGTAGGAAATGTACTATTAGAAATGTCCAGCCGTGTGGGAATAATTTACACATCTGTGACCCACAATGTCAATTTTAGAAAAGCAGAAAGAGATAAAAAGCCATTAATAAAAGAGGCTTATAAAGAACCGTGGCTTTTATATGTCCTTGAAAACCAACATTTCAATTCCCAGGAGAACAGTCGGACAGAAATCAAAGGGATACGTCTGTTAAATGGACCAAATGGGCTTCTGTCACCGGAAAATATTCTACAGGTTTTTATTTTCCACGCGAAGGCATTTAAAAAAAGCATTGAAATGATGCAGTAAAAATGAAATGAGAAAAATGACTTCTAAGGTTAGAATAAAATGACTCTGAAACTATGAGGACGTGTTCAATGCGTGCGATGTGGACAGGTAGTGCCTTCCTCTGCAGAGGACGTCCACAGAGCAGAGCATCATTAAGGAACATCTCAGGTCGGATTTGAAATCAAACTGAACATGAATGTCCAGGTCACACGGACTAAATGCTGATTTTTACTAAACCGGAAAAGAAAAACACAGAATGAAATGTTTCTGAGGTACAGAACACGAACGAATCATTGACAAACACTTCATCTGATTCATAATGAGGCTCCACCTGCAGAGCAGAGGAACAATCATGGAGGGGTCCGGTCACAGACAAACACAAAGCAGAGGCATTCTGAGACAGACATCATTCATCTTCATTTCCATCCTTGATGTGCCTTTTTCCCTCTTTTTCCCTCTTTTCCCTCAGTTTCTATTTTTGTTTTATTTTTATTTTTTTTTATACAGTACTGGATGTTGCTGGTGATCTGGAGGCACCCGAAGGTGAAGCCCTCCCCCACCAGCTGTGATGGGAAGGAGGGAGGGGGGGGTGATCAACACGCTATGCTTCCGAGCTGATTTTAGCTCGCTCTGCTTCTAGTTGTTTCCCTGGAACGTTCCCTGGGCTGCAGCTGAAACCGCTCCAGAAGCTGCCGTCTGGAAGCCCCGACTGGTGACCACGCCCTGGGAGAACTCCTGCTGGGCTTTCTGGAAACTGGCCCCGGTGCGGCGGTACAAGCCGTGGACCTGAGGGGGGGGGGGGACGTGGAGAAAAAGAACAAGTTTACTAGAGGGATATAGTGATAAGGGCATCTGGAAGCCAAACTGTATCCATTCTGTCTCACAGAATACTGACACCTACTGGACATTTAAAGACACAACAGGCAGCTGATTGACAGACTAAACTGAATTGATTTGATGACCTATTACAATGATACCATTTAAATGATTGTAGGTTATATTGTATAATTTATATCTATGTTTAAACTGAAATTTATATTTTTAGATATGTAAACATATATCATAACGTGAACATTTAGGGGGAAATGTGAATGAGGATGCTTGTGGACTAGGATTTTAAATCATATTTACATCAGCAGAATCATCACTGGAAGCTAATATATTTATGAATGTCTGAAATTTCCTGATTACAGAAGCGGACTCTAAGGAGATGAGCCGGTCTGCTCATGCACACCGAGCCCTACTGATAAACTCGTACCATTTTACCACGGTTCGGTTGTGACTGGCACAGTCCGGTGCAGATGCCCTATCTCGCTTACTGTGCTTGGACCGAACTCGGCACGGTTTCAAAAGGGTAGAGTAAAAGGCGCTAATGTGTGAGGTTTAAACTGGGCGTTCCTTCACAATGCTGAGTAATGGGGTTTATGTGCAGCTGATGTGATACCAGGGTTCTGCACCACAGCCTGTTTATTTTTTATAGATAGTTTTTTTTTTCTTTTTAAGTTTGTGCAAATTGAAAGTGAAATCTCAACATGTCAAAAACGTTAGGACATCCTGTGTCAGCTTTGGTTTCTCATTTCAGCTCCCATTAAAGGCTGTGATTAAACCATAAAATGAAATGAAACGATCCAAAAGAAAACAGCAAACAAACTTCTCACTTCATGATCACAAGGTGAATATTGAGCTCTTACCATCTTCAGCAGGACGACCGACATCACGGCACAAACGGTGAAGAGGCAGGCCACCACCATCATGATGGCTCCCACCGCTGGTTTGTCGTGGATAACAGAGAAGGCCGAGATCCAACCACTGCAGCAAACAGACAGACAGACACGGCGGTTTGAAATCTAAAACACAGCTCAACATTCAGGCTGAAAGCAGCCAGGTTACATTTAAAGATAAGAAAAGACTAAAAAAAGCGAAAAAGTTGCTGATGTTTATTTAAAAAAAGTATTAAACTATTTTTATGGGGGGGATTTTTTTCGTTGTCTTTGCAAGGAAAGAATATGCTTTAAAAATGGAAATAAAAAATAAAAAAATGCAACCCAGAAGTGAAACTGGCTGCGTTCACACTGCAGCTCTGAATGCTCAATTCGGATTTTTTTGTCAGCTAAGATTTTTGTCCCTAAAGGGACCTTCATGCAGAAGAAGATCAATAACAAGATGTGTCAGAAGTCAGTGTCTATGGATGGATTTAAAGCTGTCCAGCAGTGGAAGTAGCTGGATGATACAGCAGAGGATGCAGGAAACGAGTCAGAGAAGCTAAACTA